AGTATATTAGTTTCTAAGTATAGTTTTTAAATAAAGTATATTAGTTTCTAGGTATAGTTTTTAAATATAGTATATTAGTTTCTAAGTATAGTTTTTAAACAAAGTATATTAGTTTCTAAGTATAATTAGTTTTTAAATATAGTAAAACATAGCGAGGTAGGTTTTTTATAAATATAAAACTTTTCAAATTTTTATAAATTTAGTTTAATATAAAGCTTTTTAAATTTTTATAATTATAGTTTTTAAATATAGTAAAATATAGTAAGGTAGATTTTTTTATAAACATATAGCTTTTCAAATTTTTATAAGCATAAAATATTTTTTATAAATATAAATTTTCCCATGAAATTTTATATGTATATATACATATATACAATAGAATAGTAGTCGCAAGTTAAGATTATATCGCAGGCTCAAACAAATTCGTTTGAACGAATCTCGTGGCAGAATATTTTTTGTGACACGATAAAATCTTTTTCTATTCGTCGTAAAGGTAGCAGACGTTCGCTTTATTAATTCCCCGATATTTTCGATCAACGGAACGGATAGCCTTTTGAGGATACCACAACGAAATGAAATTATTAGTTTGAATATAGGGTATTCTCGAAGCGTAATAATAAAGATGCGTGAACGATGGTAGAGTTATGGGTGAATGGGAAGCTTCATAGCCCCGCTAGGGCGACTCTGAAAATAACCGGACACGGGGTAAACTTTCATTTTCTCCCCGTTCCTCTGTGCGCGCACCGTTTTCCCTGAAAACCGCGGACAAATAAACGCGCTGTTAAGAATAGAAGAACACCATAGCCGGTGCAAAGGGTTCGTTTCCGTGTTCGTAACACGTGGTTTCCATCCTGAACGCATAATGTGACGCGCCAACGTCAACCTTCGTCGTCGTATCGAACCTCTCCGTGCTTTACTCTTCCTCTTGAAAGAAGAAGAAAAAAAAAAAAAAAAAGAAAACGAAGAAAGACTTTGATGGAAATAAGATTTCCTATTTCTTCTGAGAATTTTCTTCGCAGATGTCGAAATTTATAGACTTTTCGATGGTAAACGTTTTCACGTGAATAGTTGGAGTTCTTGTGAAATCAATCGTTTCATCAAAGTACAAGCGAACATCAATTTTCTTCGCCGTGACTTCACGGACTGAACCGTGTCTTTTGTGTCGAAAGAAAAAGAAGAATTTTCTCCTCGGCTATCACGGATATTGTTAAAATTTACAGACTTTTCAACAGTTATCGCTAAATTAAGATAAATTTTTATGTAGCTTTTTTATTTTGTTTCTCGTGATAACTGATATTGAACAGATGTTAGTTATTTGTTTTATAATAATAGAAGCGGGCGAAGGGCCCGCTTTTTCGAAGTTATGAAAACATCTGACGATTGGAAAATTTTCCTTCGCGTTCTTAGGTTTCGTGATCGCCATGTTGGCGGCTATTGCGTCTGCTACGTGACGCGCGTGGCTTCCGTTTTCGGCGTATCCGGCCTTCTACCGAATTAATAGTCGCAAACGATTAAAGTTGCGGGCCGTTATGCGCGCTCTTCGTAACACGATCCTGGCCTACACGACAGGAAGCGCTATAACGGATGTTTTCGGCAAATATCATGCCACTGTAATATCATCGAGATCTCGAAACGATGTCCAATAAATTCTTCTCTCTGTTCTTCCTCTCAGCAAGTCAACAAAATTTTAAAACTCTATTGAAATTTTTCTTTCCACATGCATAGGTATCTTACTGTTCGTTTTCACAGTGTGTTGCAAATTTATTTTATTTAAGATACAAAGATTCTCTCGTTAAATCTTTGGTGTCTGCCCTTATCGTTCTATATTATAAAATACTAATATTATATAAATAATAATATATATTATAATGTGATATATAAAATAGAAAATAAAATAATATATATATTATATATATAACAAATATAATATTATATAAAATATTAATTTAATTAAATAAATTAATTATATTTATTATAGTATATGTAATTACATGTATACATAAATAATTATATATATATATACTGTAGTATTTATATACTTTTATTATTACAATTATATTATATATTATTATATTTATTATAATTATATATATATACTATAGTATTTATATACTTTTATTATTACAATTATATTATATATTATTATATTTATTATAATTAATTTAAGATATTTCATAAATATAATCATACATAATTATGTATATGGTGGTAAATAAAATAGTGGTTTTTGCATCAAGTTTCTAATTCTTCATCAGGAATTTGTAAGAACAAGCAGAACTTAATAAGACATCGATCCTGTTGATTATTACAACTGTTATAGCAAGTTGATGCACGACGAAGAACATCAAACGGAAAAAGAAACTTTATCGGACCCCTTAATGCACCTCTTAAATATACTTCTGCCCAAACGGACAGAAGACTATTCTCGTTCCTCGAGATCTCTGATCTACCCCATCCGCCTACGTTTAATTTTTACTTCACTTCACGATACGCTTCGTTCCTATTTAATCCTATTTCTCAGAACTGATTGCGAGATAGTCGACATCTCTCCCGTCAAACACAATCTCCTGTAGTAACTGTTACGAGTCTATATATACAAGATGTACATTAATTAGAATTTCGTGCGAATTTTTTTCTTTTCTCTTTTTCTAAAACCGAGATCCATCGTTTATGTTATTAGGTGTCGAATACAGCATCGAAACCTGCCAGAGAGAAGAAATTTTCCAAACTTCTCATCTCGTTGCAATTCTTTACTATCTAAATCACGGAACTC